GCCCCACACCGGGGATCGAACCCTGACCTCCTGGTTCCTAGGTCAGCGCTCAACCTCTGAGCCACAGCAGTCCGATGGAACCTAGGGCGTTTTTAGGGAACAGAGAGTAGCAGGTGTGGCTGGGATGAGAGGTAGACAAGGGGATTTGTGGGCAGGAAATAGGCATTGATCCTGTGCCAGACAATATGTGCCTTGATTCGTGCAAAGATGTGTCCACTCTCTGAGGGCAAGAGTGAGCCAGGGAAGGTTTTAAGGGGGAACGCGGTCAGATCTGCGAAAGATAAACATCAACAAAGAAGAGAAACCCAAGCGGGGGTCATTGACTGTATGACTGGACCAGCCTAGGTCGGCAGTGGGGCGGGAACACAGTATAAAATCCTTACGCGTTGGTTTGACGTAAGCTGTTTATCATGTATGACCAGGCCCGGTTTTTACAATCGCTGTTTATTTAGTGATTTCACTTCAGGGCACTTTCTCCCTCTGGCTCACCAGAGTTAGAAAATAATGACCAGCCCAGCCACCGTGGCTCCGTGGCTGAGCATCGATCTGTGAACCAGGAGGTCACGGTTCAATGCCCGGTCAGGGCACATGCCCCAGGTTGCGGGCTCCATCCCCAGTCGGGGGCGTGCAGGAGGCGGCCGATCCGTGATTCTCTCTCATCATGGATGTTTCTATCTCCCTCTCCCTTCCTCTCTGAACTAAATTTTTAAAAAATACCTATTTTTTTAAAAAAAAGATGGTATATAAACAAATGAGTGTGTCTGTGTTCCAATAAAACTTTATTTACAAAACAGGCATTGGACTGGATTTGGCCCAGGAGGCACAGTTTGCTGACTCTCAGCATATGTCAGGACATTGAATGAACTGTAAGACAATCTAAATGTAAGCTGGTGACAATATACTCATTTTTTCTTAAAATATATTTTATTGAGTTTTTACAGAGAGGAAGGGAGAGAGATAGAGAGTTAGAAACATCAATGAGAGAGAGACATCGATCAGCTGCCTCCTGCACATCTACTGGGGATGTGCCCGCAACCCAGGTACATGCCCCCGACCGGAATCGAACCCGGGACCCTTCAGTCCACAGGCCGACGCTCTATCCACTGAGCCAAACCGGTTTCGGCAATATACTCATTTTTATATATTGCTTAGAAATACTTTGAGTTCTTTATTCCTAAAACATATATATATATATATAGATAGATGATAGATAGATAGATATAGATATATAGATATATAGATATATATTTTATTAATTTCAGAGAGGAAAGGAGAGGGAGAGAGAGAGAGAAACATCAATGATGAGAGAGAATCACGGACCGGCTGCCTCCTGCACGCCCCACATTGGGGATCCAGCCCGCAACCCGGGCCTGTGCCCTGACCGGGAATCGAACCGTGACCTTCTGGTTCCTAGATCGACGCTCAACCACTGAGCCTCGCCGGCGGGGTTCACTTTGAGTGCTTTAAATATTTCCTGATTTTTCGAGTGTGGAGTCACTGATACCTGAACGTTGCCTAGGATGCTTTATAACCTAGGAACAGGATCATTAGTCCTCCTGCAGAAGACTGTGCGGTGCGATCACATATGTGTTCAGCGGCGGGGGAGGGGGCTGGGTCCTGGCAGTTTGGCTGACTTGCTGGATCGGGCCAGGCAGCAGAACCAGGAAACAGTCCTGGGCTTTGTTCTCTGTAGGAATGCGGCCACCTGCGCGCTTTGGCAGGTCTGCTGGTACCTGGGGGTGGGGGTGGGGGGGCGGTTTGATAAGTGGAGGGTCAAGGAGGAGGCAGCAAGCACTGAATTGCTACTGTAACTGTTTCATTCCCAGATCACCTGCCAGTTGGGGAAATAGCTCCATGGCACATAATCCACTAGTTGGTGATCATTATCCACAGTTAATAATAAACTATGAATGAACGTGCTTTCAAATGTAAATTTTACGAGGTTTAATTTTATGTCAAGGGGCCAGATACACACACACACAGATAGATAGATAGATAGATAGATAGATAGATAGATAGATAGATATGTATATATATATGGTAATGGGATTACCTCCGAAAAAAAATTCTAGACAACAATTCATTTTAGTAACATGTTATCAAGAAATAACATTCATCGTAGAGACTTACTGGGGTGATCACTTTGTAAGTTACATAAATGTCTGATCATGATGTTGTACATCTGAAACTAATATAAGAGTGTATGTTGCCCGGCTGGCGTGGCTCGGTGGTTGAGCGTCGACCTATGAACCAGGAGGTCACGGTTCGATTCCCAGTCAGAGCACAGGCCAGGGTTGTGGTCTCCGTCCCCAGTGTGGGTCGTGCAGGAGGCAGCCGATCCATGATTCTCTCTCACCGTGGATGTTTCCATCCCTCTCTCCCTCTCCCTTCCTCTCTGAAGTCAATAAAAATATATTTTTAAAAAATACATATTTTTAAGAAGAAATGTAAGAAAATTTGGTGCCATTTGATAAGCTTAGTAAGTTAGCATTTATTCGCCGCACGTGGTTGTTCCGAGTTGAAATTCACGGAGTCACCTTACACCTCAGACTGGGACGTTGGTTAAATATGTCGCGCTCCCTCCCTTGCCGCTTTTCTCAACGTGTTTTTTTTTTTTTCCTTATGACTTTTTCTTGGTGATAATATATTCGTGGTTAAAGATTAATCGACAGGATCCCATTAGGCTCCAGTGGAATTTGGACACAGCAATCCCATAAACGTCGAGAAAATAGAATGGAGACATTGTAATTGCCTTTTGTTAAAAAAACAAACAAAATAATATATATACACCTTAGAGGCCCTAATTCTGGAAATACCCAACTGAAAAACTTCAAAGGAGGCGGGAAACTCAAGTGGCTCATGGCTGAGCGGGTAGGCCGGGTGCAAGGGTGTGAAAGCTGATTGTGGAGAGCAGGGGCTCGAACCCTGCTCGCCAGCTCACTCCCAGGAACCTCCCGTCTCTGGGGCCGACAAGGTTGGATTGCCCGGCCTGCGCGGTACACCTCCTGGTGGGCAGCCCTCCCTGCCAGTGGCAGGAAGCGGAAGTTGGCACCCACCCTCGTGTCCTGAGGCTGAAACCTGGCCAGCTGCCCCATTCTGCTACCTGTTGGGAGACCTGGCTCTTTTTTTTTTTTGGTTTCGGTCACTTTGCCCAAAAGATAAGGAATGTCAGGAATTTTGCTGAACTCCTCGGAAATAGGCTCCGAGACACAATGGGCCTTTCACGGGGCTCGACGCCTGGCATTCAGAGTGTGACCCGAACGTGTTTCCTGTCCGTGCCAAGGGCGGCAGCGCTCGGCTCCTATGGAAACTTCGGACCTGGGAGGGCCAGGTGTCCCGAGCCATCGGCACAAGGGCTGCTCCTGGGACGTTGTACCATGACCTGTACTTAGAAATGCAATGAGTTTTACGTGTTTAGGTTTCAGTCCCCAATTTTCATGGTGTTTTCACTGATTTTAGAGCTGCCTGTCTTTGGCCGTGGCTGCCCCCGGGCTTCCCTCTGTTAAGCAACACACTCTCGCCGTCCTGCGTGGGAGAACATCAAACACAATAGCACTTCCTCAGTATTGGCGACACATGATAAATCCTCATGCGAACATCTCCTGGTTTAAAGAGAGAACCGTAGCCCGGCTGGGGTGGCTCAGTGGTTGAGCATCGACCTATGAACCAGGGGAGGTCATGGTTTGATTCCCGATCAGGACACAGGCCCGGGTTGCGGGCTCGATCCCCAGTAGGGGCGGTGTAGGAGGCAGTCAATCCATGATTCTCTCTCATCATTGATGTCTCTCTCTCTCTCTCCCTCTCCCTTCCTCTCTGAAGTCAATAAAAATATGTGTAAAAAACAAAGAGAGAACCATACAAAATAAATGAGAACCTGAGACGACTTCCAGACCGGTTGATAAAGGGGTGTGTGTGTGTGTGTGTGTGTGTAATCCTTACGAAATGCTTACTGCGTTTCACTGTTCTAAGCACCTACATGATCTCACAAGATACTGTGTTGGGTGATATTGGGGGAGTCCTGGGGGGGCTATAATACACATTCCCTCCTCCCTCCCTTCTGATGTACATACGATCAGGGTTCCCACACAGCGAAGAGACAGCAGTACAGACCCCACCACACCCCCAAGCCCGGGAGCCTGCCCTTCGTCATGCTGCCTCTGTGTGGAACAGGGGATTCTGGTCCAACGACAGGAAATCAGAAAGGAGGAGATGGGCCCCGGGCTAGAGAGAGCTCTCCGAGGATGGAGGATGCTCTTGGGAAAACTGATGCACCCCGTCGGCTGAGCGACGTAGACAACATGGACCCCAGGACCATGAGCCCTGGGGTCAGACTGCTGAGTGTCCCTGCTTCTCAGCTGCGGGACCTTGGACGGATGATCATGTGGCTGGTTTATCTCAGTTTCCTTATCTCTCGAGTCCGGATCATTAACAGTGCATACTGATAGCATCAGAGCGGGGCTCCCTGATTAAAATACCTGTGAGCGCCCGGCCGGCATGGCTTAGTGGTTAGCGTCGACCTGTGAACCAGGAGGTCACAGTTCAATTCCCCGTCAGGGCCCGTGCCTGTGTTGCAGGCTTCATCCTCAGTGTGGGATGTGCAGGATGGCGAACCTTTTGAGCTCGGCGTGTCAGCATTTTGAAAAACCCTAACTGAACTCTGGTGCCGTGTCACATATAGAAACTTTTGTATATTTGCAACCATAGTAAAACAAAGGCTTATATTTTTGATATTTATTTTATATATTTAAATGCCATTTAACAAAGAAAAACCAACCCAAAAAATGAGTTGGTCCTAGGTTCGCCATCACTGCCCTAGCGGTTATGATATCAGTGATGTCAGGAAGCTAAAATGCAAGTTCATTCTTGTGTGTCCTCCCCACCGCAGGGAAGACTGTGTTGAACATGCCCCGGGGGAACATTGCGACGGGAGAAGACGATAAAAATCAGGAAAATATCTGACCTTGGTGTTTTTTGTTGTGGCTGTTTCTGTGTGTGTTCAGTTCTGCTCCTGGAGAAGATCGAGCATGATGACGTGTGCAATAAGACGCTGAAGATCACGGACTTCGGGCTGGCGCGGGAATGGCACCGCACCACGAAGATGAGCGCGGCGGGCACCTACGCCTGGATGGCCCCGGAAGTCATCAAGTCGTCCCTGTTCTCCAAGGGAAGTGACATCTGGAGGTGAGCCCCAGGCCCTTTGCTTTTGCGGATTTCTGCAGAGCGGGGTCGCCGTCCGTCCTTTCCATGAGCCCCAAAGTCCTCAGCGATTCCGAGCATGACTCAGCGATTCCGAGCATGGCTCAGCGATTCCAAGCATGACTCAGCGATTCCGAGCATGACTCAGCGATTCTGAGCTTGAAGGGTCATGGAGGCCTTTTGGGATGGGGTTTTATAGTTTTGATCGTATCATCACAGGGGAGCAGTTACCTTAAGGTTTTGAATGGCCTTGGCTTCCATTTGATAGGAGAGCCTTCTATGGGAGGTTTGATTAAACATGGTTAGAATTGGCAGCCGGCGTGGCTCAGTAGTTGAGCGTCGAACCAGGAGGTCACGGTTCGATTCCCGATCAGGGCACATAACCCAGGTGGCGAGCTCGATGCCCAGTGTGAGGCGTGCAGGAGGCAGCCGATGCATGATTCTTTCTCATCATGGATGTGTCTCTCTCTCTCTCTCCCTCGCCCTTCCTCTCTGAAATCAGTAAAAATATATTAAAAGAAGAAAACAAAAAAGAAAGAGAACAACCACATTAGTCCACGTGGGGCGTGGGGCTCGCCCCGCCTGGTTCAGTCATCGCTGCCCCTGAGCCCTCCTGCTGTCAGCAGCTGAATGCCTGTGCTGGAGGCTCTGCTGATTTCTGGGTGCACCACTGCTTTCTGGGGACGCCTGTGTTTGGGACATTAGCCTCTCACCTGGGATGAGGGCCGCCCCTTTCTAGGAAGAGCAGGTTGCTGGAGGCGGGTGCGGACACCTTTGTCCCCCAGCTGTGTCCCAGTGACCTTGATGGTAACCTTGCTTTCCAGCTATGGGGTGCTGCTGTGGGAGCTGCTCACGGGGGAGGTCCCCTATCGCGGCATCGACGGTCTCGCCGTGGCCTACGGGGTGGCGGTGAACAAGCTCACCCTGCCCATTCCGTCCACCTGCCCCGAACCCTTCGCCAAGCTCATGAAAGGTACGTGGGCACCCCTGTCTCTGTGGGTCTGTGGGGGCAAGGGGAGTCCTTCATTATAGCATATATATACTTTTTATTTTTTTAACATTTA